CCAAACGTTTGGTGTAAGAATAAAACTGAAAAAGAAAATATGAATTAAAAAAAAAATGCCAATAATGTAAAATTCGAGTGGATTTTTCTCGCTCATTTATATATAGTTTCATAGAGCTTGACGAACTGATCACGAATGTATAGTTTTTATTCCGATTCGATCATCGTTTGGATGAAAAGAACTGTACAAAACTTGAATGACTGAAAATAAAAGATTGGTTACTAGGAACTCTTATTTTTCAGAAATTGTCAAATTTCGATTACGAAATGTTTTTCCAAACTTTATGGAAACAGTTTATTCTGATGTATTACCAAAAACTGAGTAGAAAAAAAACTATTCATCTTTATTATCATGGTTCAGATAAAAAGTAAAGTATATTGCATATTCGAAATAAGCGTCAAAAACTACATCGAATTATATATATATTTTTGTAAATAATGAATCGGATCGAAAATACACCTATGGCTCCCACAGGTCTAATTTTCTGAAAATTCCCCCTAGTTCTTCAGGGATCAGTTTTTCGCAGAAAAAATGATTCTTAAAATATATATGATTCAATACAGTTTTTGACGTTTATTTCGAATATGCAATCTATTTTACTTTTTATCTCGACTATGATAACAAAGACGAATAGTATTTTTCTACTCAGTTTTCAGTACTGAATAAGAATAAAATGTTTTTATAAAGTCTGAAATAGCGACGTAATCCAAATTTGACAATTTCTGTAAAAAACTCCGAGTTCATTGTTACCAATGTTATACTTTCAGTCATTCGATTTTTGTACGATTCTTTTTCAGTTAAACTGTGATCGAATCGAAATAAAAACTATATATTTATGACCAACTCGTCAAACTCTATTAAACCATATATAAATGAGCGAGAAAAAAAGTCTTCGATATGTATAGAAAAGATTGAAACAAAAAAGATAGAAAAAAATGCCGAATGATGAAAATGTTGAAAAGTTAAAAAATAGCGTAAATAGACAATTTACTGTTGATTTATGTTGATTTGGCGTCTAATGTTGTCTTACGATATTTTTAGTAACTGTTCGTTGTGTAATGCGATTATTAGAACAAGAAGAAAGATAATCATCGATCAACAATAGGATTGAAAAGATAATTGATTTTTTATTATAGATGTCATACATATATTTATCGGTTTTTCTTATAAATTCAATAGTAATTCATTTAATGATAATTAACAGTTATAATTCATATTTTCTTAGATCGAACAAAAGCAAACCGTTACTGGTGTTAAACGGTATTGTATATAAGAAAAAAGCAAAGAAACTAAAACGAAAAAGTAAGTACTGGACGTGCCAAACAAATGGATATTGTGCGTACGTGCACACTAGCATCTATAATATTACTCATGTATAATTTATGAAAAAGTTTATCTCTGCTCCATATATTAATAAACTATTTATATTCGAATAATCCAACCAATTATATGCTAACATTTTCGACATAAGTATCATTCGATGTTTTGTGATTCGATTTTTTTTTATGTCAGTCATCTCTTCATTTCCATTCACAGTATCCCCAAAGTTAGTCTCTGATTGATTTGTTCTAGTTTAATTTTTTCCTGATAAGACTCATTCTGAAAAAAATCGATTTCAAATTCGGTCCATTCTTAATTTGGTTCTCATTAGTCAACTAATTAAGATAAACAAAATGAGTGACAGACATAGTTTATTTTTGTTTATATATTTTGAAAGAGTAAGTGACATATGTAGGTCAGAAAGAAAGAAAAAACAACAACTACAACATGATAGGCTTTATTTCTTAACGAAAGAACTTTTTTTTATCGTACGACCAGATTTAATTGCTTGTTATAATTTATCGAGTTCTCCTTTTACATACTCTTAGAGAATAGGTCAATGAGCGTTTTATTATCGATTACATCGATGTTTTATGAATTTAAGTTACTAATAGAGAATATATATATTCTCTATCGTCATTGATCGTGACTGAAACATTAATCAGGATCAAATTCGAAACTGACTAAAATCGATATGGATTCAATTCAGAAACAATTAAAATGGGACAATCTATCTTAATTATTAATTAGAGACAAGCTGGTAGTAAACCTTATCCACAACTATATACACACTCTCAAATATTCGTACTCATTGTTTACTAATTCAAACAAGCTCTATGAATACCGTTTGATATATTTATTCCATTGATGATTCCAAATGACAATAAGATTTTGATTATCATCTGATAATCTTCTTTTTGAACAATAAATAATTGAATCTCTTGTTAGATTATATTTTATTTGTTCAATAAATGATAGATTAATAATTGATTTTGATATATTTATTTGTGATATATGTGTATAAATACCTAATTGTAAAATTTGTGTATCATGAAAAAGATATTCAAAATAGAGACGTTTATATGGAATATCTAATAATGATTCATAAGAATCTTTATCATCCCGCGATAATGACCAGATTAATTCAAAATGACGACGCCAAACATCATTTGTTCGAATATGTCGTTTATAATAAATAAAATCTAAACGTTCAAGTTGATATGGAGATAAATATGGAAGTATGTCACGTAAACATGAAATAGGTAATTGATTTAAACTATTTGGATTTAAATAAGAATTTTTAAATAAATCTCTAAGACATATTTCATAAAGTGTAACAATTGGCATTATTAAAAATACTGATTCATTTTTTTTTATTATTAAAAACAAAAAAATTTTCTTTTTGATATTCGATTTACAAACAAAAAAAAAACTTCAAAAGACAAAATAATAATATTAATAATAACAAATAATTCGAAGGCGCTTTGTTATATATGTAAGATATTTTTTTGTTTTTGAAAGAAACAGTTTTCGATTTATTTTTTGATATCAACTATATCAAACTTGTTTACATATGGTAAAGATTTTAATAGATTTCTGCATGTGTATGTTATTAGTCTGCACCAGGCCTGAATGAATCTTTCATCAACTTAATTTCAAGTATGACGTATCAGTCAATATTGATAATAGCTTCATGCTGATGCTTTGATGTCAAGGATCATCGTAGGCATTTGTTAGACAACAACAAATAAAACGACAAACACAATTATTGGATGCTCTCAGAAAAGCACTCGTCTGTCTGTCTGTGTATCTGTTTGTATATCTCATGTTGTATATGTTAGGAAACTAACGTTGCATACACACGAGGTCTATGTATTAGACTATTATCAATCGTATGCGCAATAAAATAGGTTCTTAAGAGAAATAACGGTGAAGAAACAGAACAACCTTGACCAATCACCACTGTAGAAAAGAATAAGAATAGTACAGTTAGGAGAAGAAAGGGAGCGAAAGAAAAAGATATAGGTCGTGCGTTTATATGCATGCATAAACAAGGACATAAAAAAGGCGTACGTCTTGTTAATCGTGATTATTATTTTTCTTTATTCATATACATCTATTCTCACTCATTTACTCTCTCTCTTTTACGTTTTTAAGAAGGCAAAAGGTAATTCAACGTCATTATCGTATTAATATATATATATATATATATAAAACAAAAATCTTTTCTTTTAGAACAAATGGTTGCAACATTAGATTATGGATATTTGTCGACACCAGTTGGTATACTTAACATAGCTGAAATCGTACGTTTGATTTTATTCTTGATCAATCTGTATAAGAAGAAAAAAAAACGAATAGATATGTTTCGCTTGATTGATTATAACCTTTTCAACCAAACGATTTGAGTTTTTGATAATTTGGAAATAAAACAGATAAAAATATTTATTTTTAACCTATGTCTGATGTCATCTTGATATACAGACTAATATGTAAACAAATAATCAGTAAAAATAATCTCTGATATCTAAAGGTTGATGAGGTAAATAACTCAATCAATCACTAAAAAAATTATTATACATGATGTATACAACAATATTTAACATGATTAATAGCTTTTAGAAAAAAAAAAAACTATAATAAATTGAGTTAAATGTGAAGAAACAATTAGTTAGTTTCGTTTATGAGCAATTTGTAACTAATGATATCCATATGTTTTGCCTTGATATTATAGTAAATGAATAATATTCTTTCTTTTCTTTTCTTTTCTCAGGTTGCATTAATTGCTGCACTCATTAGTGTTGCATTTACATCTCGATCATTTTGTGAATTAGCTGATAATTTAAAATGGGTATATCCAGATTTAAATACATTAACTGTTCGATATGTATTTCAATCATTTGCTATTCTTTGTTTAACTATAACAATTATTATTCTTGTCATGCATATCTATGGTATACGTTTTTCGGGAAAAAATTTTGCTTATTTAAATCAAATTGTAAGTAAAAAAGAAATCAAGAGAAAAGATTTATTAATTATTTTATTTATCTTAGTGTTTAATTCTTAATATTATTATGGGATTAATGATGATATCAATAGGTATATGTGCTGCATTATGGGAAGATAAATTAAGACGAACACCAGGAATTATCCGACGTGGATATTTTTTAAATAGATATCAAACTGTTTTTGGTGAAGTAACACATCCAAGACCTGGAGCAGCTGCAGCTGCAGCCGTAAGTTATTTAAAACAAAAGAAACAATTCTTAATTTCATTATAGAAAAACAACAAAATTTCTTTATAGACATTTGCTCTTATAGCCGGCATACTTTTTATAATCGAAGCTTGCATTAGACCAATGTTAAGTACTGGTGCAACACGTGTACCAACACATTCATCAGATCGACCTAGTTATACAGTTGCAGTTAGTACTCAACATCCACCAGTAAATATTTCAAATAGTGGTGAACGCATAATCCCTATTGAAAAAACAACAACAACAACAACCACAACAACATTACCATATCGAGTTTAAATTGCATTTACCGCCTTTTGTATTTGTGTGTGTGTGTGTGATTTTTTTTTTTACTTTATTATTTTATCTTCATGTAGTTTCATCTTTTTTTTTTCTTACGCGCATTTTCATTTTAAGAAAAAATTTTCATATCTATTTCTAATTATGGTTCGTATTTCATCAAAAGTTTCTCATCATCGAATACAACAAAAGAAACAATCATCGTTACAATCGATTGAAATAAATTCCAATAATACAAATGATCAATCATCATCAAAAATTCTTAATGTTGTTCGACAAGCATTACTTAATGCTGCTGAAGAACTTGTTTCTCAACAACAAGAAAATGAAAATCAAGTAGATAATATAACTCCATTTCATACATTAGATAATAATAATAATAATAATAATAATAATAATAATAATGATTTAAATAAATCATCTTGTCAACGAAATGGAAATGCAATAAAAAAGAAAAAAAAAATTACATGTAAAAATAAAAAAGTTTTAAAAAAAAATCGACGTAAATAAAATTTCGATTGTATTTTCGAATATTCGAATTTTATTGATAAATAAAAAATACCAAGAGAAAAAAAAAGAAGAAGAAGATTTTATGTCATTCTTAAGTATATGATCACGAATTTTGTGGAAGTATAGCTGGATTTGGTGGTAAAATATGTCCACCTTTACGTGATAAAATACTTATTTCAGCTTTTAAGGCTTCAATTTCTTGTGCTTGTAATTGAACAAGAGTACATAAACGATCAAATTCTTCAATACTTTGTTTTGATGGACCCGTAAATTCATCAGCCTAAACGGAAAAAAAAATTATAATTTTATAATAGGAAAAAAAAACAGTGGAGAAATTTTATAGATAAACTAACAGCTTTTGTTTTGCGTGAAACAAGTTGTTCATCAAGAAGACGTTTTTCATCAACAAGTTGAGTTAATTCATCAAGACGTTTTGTATTTGTTTTCAATAAATCAATTGTATCATCATGTTCTTCGATTTTAAGAAGCTAAAATATAGATTTTTAATAATCAATATTTATTTAAAAAAAAAAAGATTAAATTATAATACAATTTAAATAATAAAATTTTCAAGATTTTGTTATGTATATTTCAAATGTTTATTAAAAATTACTCCTTTGATTATTATTCCTCGATTATAATAGTCAAAAACGTCGAAAGTTATTTAATCATTGTTATTACAAAATGCTGAACCTATCTTATTTATTTCTATATTTGGACTAGAATTTTTTTTTCATCGGTGCTCTAATTATTATTTGCATTGTTATTGTTCGCTCGTTATTTTTCTTTTTCATAGTTCGTTTTTCTTAATTCAACATTATGATAAGCATTGAATTGAATGGTAAATATTCATTATATCTATTGTAGTAAATCTTAATGCATTATTATATATCTCGATCAATTTACACCTTTCATGTTGATCATATTGACAAGTGTGTTGAATCAATGCATCACAACCCATGATTGATGACATTTTGAATATAAAATTTTATCTGTGCACAAATAAAATACTGCACTATGTAAAATATTCACAAGCATATTCTACCCATTCAAATTTCGACGAATACTTTGAAAGACTCTATAACAATCTAAGTTATGCTGTTCAGAGCGTTTCCCATTGCTAAGAAACTCTAGGAAAAGAGTCTGATGCCAATTGTGTTCAATTGCTAAAGACCGTAATGAGGAGGAGCCGCAAAACTTCGACTGAAAACTTACACTCACTATTTTCTTCGAAAATATACGTGAGTTCCACAAAAGTCATCCCAGCCGGAGCTGAAGATTATAGGTAAATATTTTATAGTTTTAACTCAAAAAGTACAAATCTTTGATAAATAAATTAAAAAAAAAACAACTATTGAAAAATCTTTTTAGATGTAATACAAATCAAGTCTGAAATAGTTTTCTCTAGACTGGGATCATTAGAATAGAGACTACCGGAATTAGAAAGAACTTGGTTCGGCACATATCTATTTAAGAAATCATTTTTACTATCGAGTACTTTCAATACGGAAAAATACAGCGATCAAGAAAAGTCTATATATAGATCAAAACTTTTGGTATACCTCATATTGTGTCATTGTATTATAATATTCATCACCAGCATCATCAAGTTTTTGTTTAAGCTCTTCGATTTGTAAATTAACAATAGCTCCTTCTAATTTTTCTAATTGAACTAATTTACCAAATTTTTCTACCATTAATTTATTACATTCATCAGTTAAAAGTTTTATAACCTGAGCAGCATGTTTTAATTCATGTGATAAATCTTTTCGTTCTTGTTTTTTATTTCTAAACAAAAATTTTTTAATAAAAAATAAAATAAAAGAAATGATTATTTGTTCTTCTTTTTTTTTTTTGTTTTTTTTTAAATATATTTACACGTATCGTTCTTTTTCTCGTTTAATTTCTGTTTTAACATCAACTATACGATTTGTTAAACCTAATTTATTAATTCTATTAAAGATTAATGCATCAGATAAATCATCTGGTAAATGAGTTGAACGATCATAACGAATTTGATGACAACGAATACCAATAGCAACATTAATATCATTAATTTTTCGTTGTTTCTTTTTCTACAAAACAAAACAAAACATTATTTAATTATTGCAACAAATCATCTGAAAATAATTATTTTCTATTATTTATTTACTTGAAAATCAATTAAATCAGCTTGTTTTGATTTTAATTCAGCATCAATTTTATTCGAATAAATTTGTGTTTGTCCAAGTGTTTGTTGTAATGATTGTAAAACGGATTTTTCATCCGTTATTGCTTCATCTAAAATTATAATAAAAGAATTTTTTTAAAATAAGATAAATAAATTCAAAAAAATTATACCAAGATCAAGTCGTTTTTCACGTAAAGCAACAACATCATCATATACTTTTTGATCAAGATTTGGTGGACAAATATCAACATCAAGTTGTCGTGTTGGATCTTCATTAGCTATTTGATCCTCATCTTCTTCATCTTCAAGTTCCCAATCTTCTTCTTCATCCAAATCTTGAGACATATCATCAGCATCTATTTTAAAGAGAAATATAGAATGTTTAGAATCTATTTAGAATATGAAAATCATAATAATATATTGTAAATATTTTGAATTTAAATGAATTTTTTATGAAGAAAATGTTCATTGCCACCAGATGCAATCGTAACTGATAGCGCGAAAACCTGGATATACAATGTTACTGTTTACTAGGGAACCTTTCCAAGTTGAAAATCGCTGTTAGTTTCGAACTCTCTGTATAATGCAGACCAACCAGCTTCAATCTTCAAATTCAGATTTACTATCATCGATTGTATAAATTTATAAAGGAAAAAGTTATCAAACAATTCATTTTTTTTCAAAGCTTCTGATATAAAAAAAAATGAGCTAATCTTTTAAAATCCCATATCACAGGTTTGTTCGCACTACCGCTGGTAAGTAGTCGACTATTTAGGTATTAAACTACTGCCGGTTTTTCGTCCGATTTAAATCACATGGGATGTGTTCAAGTGATATATTTTCTTTTTCTGTAATCATTAAAAAGTCAATGATTACAAATATTGTTGGTATTTTGTCTCGTATTTATATGATTATTCTTTTTTGAAATGGCGAAAACGAAAACTTTTATCTGTTATGATATATTAAAAAATGTCTATTAAAAAGTGATGAATATGAATTATATATTTATGGATACATACCATCTGCTTCTTCTCCTTCAACACGTTTTTTTCGTTTAATTTTCTTATTTAAAACTCGTAAAAGATAATTATAAAATTTATGTTCTTTTGGTATCATTTCATCAAAACGTGCATAAATATGTTTCATTCGTTCATCTAAATTTTCAATATCTTTTTTTTTTAGATCAATTTTTCCATTGAATTCATTTATCTAAAATAGAAAAATGAAAAAGAAAAAGAGGAAAAAAAAAACCTATTTGTTTACTTTTGTTTGTTCATTATCAAATCGTTTTTGTGCTTCAACAACTTTATTTTCTAAGTCATTTTCTGTTCGTTCAAATTCTTTCATTAACATTAATTCTTCATAGAATGTAATACATCGAAGATCAGTTTCTTTAGCTCGTAATGTTTTTATCATTTTAAGATAATATAATAGACAAACATCATTATCAAATGTACGCATTGTTTCTTTAACATTTTCAAGTATTTGATCACGTTCAAAAAATGATCTGAAAACAAAAATAAAAAAAAAATTTTTTGTTGGAAATAATTATATGTTGATATCTAACCGATAAGTGAATGGATCAAAATTTGAATTTTCAGGATCGTTTACTTCACGTAAGATATTAATTGGTGTATTATCATTTGTAGTAGTTTCATTAGAACGATTTCTATTGAGAATATTAGATGGTAATGGTTCTTTTAAATTTACAGACCAACGAAGATCAATCGGACGTTTTATTGATGATTGACGAGTGTTTGTATTTGATGAATCTTCATCAGGTTTTGTTAAATCACCATTACGTTGTTCATGTTCTTCACGAAATGCTTGAATTTCTTCACGAGTAAAGTGAAAACGACTACATATAAAAAAATATTTATTTAAAAGAAAAAGATATTTGATATTATTATTATTATTATTATTGTTTTTTATTTACTTTTCTTGTCCATCGTGAACAGATGGTAAGAGAGGAATATTAAATAATTCTTCATAATTTGGCTGACTTTGACCAAGATTTCGTAATCGTACAAGTTCATTATTTATTTGTTCAGTTAGAGTACGTTTACGTTGAATAAGATCCAAAACACGTTGATTAAATTTCATTTTATATGTATATGTCTAAACATAATTATTCTCAAATGATGTTTTCATTCTTCAACAGGAATTATCAGAACTATCAAATATTAATGTCAGAATCAGTGATATAGCAAAATCAATCATAAATCTATGGTGGCGACTATATCTTATCAGAGAAGTCTTGCAATTGATAAACCGTTTTTGAGTCAAGACTATGCGGATTATGTGTAACTAAATGAGCTATGGATACTCTGATAAGAGTTCATGTTTTTAGCCTATTGTCACGAAGATACTACATTTCTACGGTAGTGTTTAAATGAATGCAGAAACATCAGGAAAAATGATTTTTGAATTTCAACTTCATACTTCGCATAGAGAGCTCTTAACGAGAACAATTTTTTGCGGATGTTTCAGATCTTGTCATTGTTCCTATTCTAAGATATATCTGTAGTAAAAGCGTGTCTTTTATATTGCTCATATAATACACTGGTAGATTCGATGTTCTTATTTCAGGATAGAAATAAATCCAAAGACTTGAAATCTTCACAATAAACTAACCTCGTTAAGATCTGTCTCTATACAAAATTCTTAATCGAAATTCGAAAATCAGTTTTTCTGCTGCTCTTGAGATGGATCACGGCATTCATTTAAAAACTATCGTAAGAGTACTGTATCTTCGTAGCAATAAGCCTAAAACTGAAACTCTTTTCAAGATATTTATAGTTCATTTGAATTTACATCATGCACATAATCTCGATTCAAAACTGATTTAGCAATTGCGAGACTTTCTTCATTAGTAAAATGGATAACTAATACTATCTAACAGCTTGTCATATTTCACGCAAACAAGATTTAAGAAATACCATAATTAATCTATTGAAAAAATGAATCATAGAAATCTGTTCGATTTTCTTTACGAAATGATCGATTTAAATTTGTACGTAATTCATTCAACAGTTTTAATTTTATAAAAATGACCTGAAACTATTATATTTATTTTCGGTAGGATCTTTTTGTGAAACATCTGTTATTTATTAAGCTTCTTTTTTTGATTTTTATTAAATTACCACAAATCTCAATTTCATGATTCTATCAAGTGCTCGAAGAACAGTAAGCCGTTGTTCAACTGGTACAACATAATCCGATGCTGATTTTAAAAAATAATTTCCCATATTATCTTTTGCATAACGAATATTTTCAACTTCAACTGGATCAGCATATCCTTCTGGTTTTTTCTTTTGATAAAGTGCTGTCCACTAAAATACAAACAATCAAACATATTTATATATATATATATAAAATTGAAATGAAAAAACCTCTTCTTTTCGTTTTTGTCGTCGTTTAGCACGTTCTTCCATTTTACGTAATAAACGTTCTACACGCATTGCTTTAGCACCTTTTAATTTTGTTGTTGAAGATTTCGATTCAGTAGTACGTGCTTCTCGACTTTCACCAGCTTTTTCATCTATTTTGAAAACAATAAATTAAATATTTATTAAAAATTTATCTTAAATTCATTACCAGAAATTTCAATAGTCTCTTTTCTTTTTCCTTTATCAAGTAAAGCATTTTTTTGTCGTTCAATTTCTTCTTGTAATGAATAAAAATCCTTCGGTAATTCTATTTAAAAATATAATCAAAAATCAATAATACATAACTAAATAGTATTCATACCGATAGTACGAAATGTACTAACTTCCCATTGACCATCAAAACTTTTAACTGAAACAACATCTTGAGCAACAGGATCGACAAACCTAAATTGATTTTAATAACAAAAACGAAAGTAAAGTTTTTAGACAAGATGTTCGTTCACTCTTATCCTGCAAGAGTGTTTCCGATGATAGAAATTAAGAAACAAAAAAGCATACTTCTGTACATCTTGTGCTTCCTTAAACTAATGTTTTATCCAGCATAGAGCGCAGAGGGATGTTCATCCTTCCGAGGTTTGGATTGCTCAACCAGAAGAGAAAATCTGAATAAAACACTAGTCTCAACTTCTTCGAACCTCATCATACTTCTCATATTTTGAAAGTACAGAAGTATGCTTTTTCCTCTTTAAGTGAAAAGCTATGAATTAGAACTAGAATTTTGCGCTCTTTTTAAATATGAATTTTGAAAAATTCTGTTCGAGAGTAGTAAAATAATCTTTGAAAAGCCTAAAAAATTAGGTTTGGGTGGAAAATTCTTGGATTTTCACTATTGCGATTCGACACTCACTGTTGAAATTTCTATTTAGATATAAGCTTGTAGATCAGAAATCACCCTACAAATTTTTTTTGTCTTTCATCAAAGCATCTCAATTTTTGTTTTTTCTAGATATACTTATCTTTAAAATATCGACAATTGTTTTACGTCGAAAGAAGCTCTTGATAAAAATGCTTGTAGCTTCACTTGGATAAATGCTACAGCTTACATTTTGTAGAGAAGTGTTCGCTCTAGAAAACCATCGACACTGACAATTTTTCGCATGTTCGAAAAGGGTACTTATAGGATACACAAAAACCTATTGACTCACTATTGAAAATAATTTTTCATGTCTTTCAAAAAGTTCTTTACTACTCTTGAACAAAACTAGACATAAAATGTCTAAGTTCATATTCGAAAAGAGCACAAAAGCAATAAAAATTTTTCGATCATCATTTTATTTTTACCATTGTTCTAATTTTCTTAATGCAACATTACAACGTTCAGATTCCCATGCTAATTCTTTAACAGATAGATCAATTTTATCTTGAAGTTCAGCAAGAAAATTTTGTCGAATATTTTCATCAAGAATAAAATCCTAAAAAAGAGATAGAAACTTTTTTTTTTCTTTTTTCAGTTGTTTACTTGACGAGCTGTTCTTAAATCTGCTGGTAATTGATCATTTTCTATTAATAATCTTCGAAATTTTCCTCTTAAACCTTCAACTCTTTGTCGCATTTCACTTTTTAATCCTTCAGCTGATTTTTTCATTTTATCTTGTTCAGCTCTTTGTTTTTCTTCTTCAATTGAATAATGTTTCGGTTCAGTTATATCTTGTGGTTCGATTTCACCCTATATATATATATATATATAAATCAAATATTCATCTATTCAATAACAGGTGCTGGTTTTTGCTTTTCTATTTACTGTATATGCTGGCATTTTAGGTATCTCAAATTGTTCTTGAAAAATATTTAAATCTTCTTTAACAACATAACCAAATATATTTCCATCAGCACCACCAGAAAATGCAAAACGATCATCAAATGATGTAATTAAATGAGTTACAATTCCATATTCAGTATCATGTGATCCTCTTGTCCAATAATCATCAAGTGATTGAAATATTTGTGTACCACCATATGGATAAATACGTATAAAACCATTTTTTAAACCAACACATATTAAATTTAATTTTTCTCTACAAACAAAACATACAAATGAAATTTTGAAAATAAAAAAAAAAAAAACTAAAATACCTAATGAGAATACTTGTTAATGGAATATCATTACCATCTGCTAAGTCTGTATTTGGTACAGGTAAAGTATTTACTATAGTATCTTGTCGTTCTGGATTATATTGAAAACGATCATCTTTATTTGAAAATTGACAATGATATAAATATCCAGCATCATAATTATCCTAAATTGAAAAATATTAAAAAAATAAAAATAAAATAAAAAATAAAATACAACCATAGAAAGCCAAAATGTATCTGGAGATGTATAAGCTGCAAATAAAGCTGCACTAGGTGTTTCAGGTATATATGGTTTCCAATCATCCTCTTCTTTTTTTTCTTCTTCTTCTTGTTCCGTAGGTCGTTCACCTTCTACAAAGAAAATAAAATATTTCTTTTTTTCTTAGATTTATATTACAATTAATATATTTCTTTTATTATCATGTTCTTCTAATTTATGAAGGAACATTCTCATGTGTCAGTTCACTTACGAGTTCAGATTAGAGATGTACGGGACCAAGTTCTTTGGTTCTAGTTCTGGTCATTTTAGTTTTTGGTACCCCATTCGTCACTATGTATACATCTGAGAACATTCACTTGTAAGTAATAAGACACTTCTGTAGGAATTTTTTAAAGCTCCTATCCTCTTCTTACGAAATTCATGCTGAAGTATGTGATGGAAAACTTCCGAGGCTTACTTCAGACTACTATTGATCTAAAATATCTTTATTCATTAAGCAAAAATTCTTCAGTAGTCAATAAAATAAAACTTTTTTTTTCTATGTCTGCAATCCTGATCGATTATGAGGTTCTATTGTTTATTATAAATCATTAAATTCCTTCAAATTAATAAAATTAAATATGAAATAGTTTAATATTTACCTTTCTCTTTCTTTTCAATACCACGTAAACGTCTTTCTTCTTCTAATTTTCTTTGTCGTTCTTCTTCTTCTTTTCGTTTTCGTTCAAGTTCTTCTTCATGCTTAGAAAAGAAACAAATAAATATTTTAACCCATTTTTAGATTTAAAAAATGTTCTTACTCGTAATCGAGATTTAATACTTCGAAAACGAAATATTCGTACAGGTAATTGTGTTTCAATTAAATATGATGTTGATGTATCAAATTTAATACCACCTGGTCCTTCATATTCAAGTATAACACCATTGTTCAAACAAACAAGAAGACAAGTTTTATCCTGATTATTTAAATAAAAAAAATAAAAAAAAGAAATTTCTATAATTTACTTTTCAATAATACTTACATATTGAGCTGGTGTCCATGTCATAAAAGTTATTGTCTCGTTTACATTGACAAAACCAATTGGATTTAAACCTTTTGGTGTAAAATTAAAGAAAAATACTGTTCCATCAGTACTCTAAGAAATTAAAAACAAAAAGACATAATTAATTTAAAAACATTGATTTAAATAGATGAAAAAGAAACAAACTCCAGTAGCTATCCATTGATTTTTAACTTCTACAGTAATAAATGTAACCGATTTTGTATGTGGTTTAAGAACTTGTATCATTCGTAAATCAAATTCAAATTTTTTTTCTGTTCCATTTGGTTTAATACCCGAACGAAGTTTGAAATATCGTATAACACCATCAGAAAATCCAACTAATATTCCATCAGATTTTTCATCAAACTTTAAATAGAAAACAATATATTATTTATCCAAAAAAACCTTAATTTAATTTATAACATACAACAGTTGGAAGCCATTTTAAACTTGTAACATTTGTTACAAACATTTTTTGAGATAAAATTTCTTGTGTAAGAATATTATAAATTCGAATAGCTATATGAACAAAAACAAATTATGAGATTACTTTAAATATAAATTAAATGATATTAATTTTACTATTGCCAGCCGAACAAGTAAACATATGATAAACTGATGAAGTATCAAGACCAGTTACAGCACCTGATGTAAATGAAAGAAGAACTTCTGGATCAACACTATTTTTCGAAAATGTTAAATCTAATTTCCAAATATTTCCTCTTGCATCCTATTTATTGAAAGAAAATAATTTTAAAAAATTCTAAACTAATTTCAACAAAAAAAAAAACAAGACTTACCTGAGCAAACCAAAGACTCATATCATCAACAACTCCATGTTTGATTCCCATTAATTTACTATCTGTTCCAACTCGAAGTTCATTCAATGGTTCCATTTCCATTTTTGATCCTTCATCAATTGCTTCAGCTGTATCAATAGTTTCAAAATCCCAAATACGTATATAACCATCTTCACCAACAGTATATACATCACTTTCATTTAAAAGTACTTGTTGTATTGGACCATTATGACAAGGTTTGCCTTTTTTACGACAAACTTCTATTTGAATTAAACCACCATCCCATAATAACATATTACCCCATTCAGTACCAGAAATAACCTAAAATTAATATTCTTAAATTAATTATTTAAAAAAAATCTTTTCATACTTTTCCATCTGGTAATTCACGATAACCTTCAATATCAGAAATTTCTGTTCGTCCAAATCGACCTAATTCACCTTGTAATTTTAAACCAGTAAATGTTCGAGCCATTTTCCAGAATCTATTATAATTTTTTTATTTTATTTATATTTCAAAAAAAAAACAAAAAACAAAAAAAAATCTTTTTTTTTCTCGTAATCTTACTTAATATGACCAATACCAGATGTAGTTAAATGTCCTTTAAGATCTTTTGAAAATGATACTTTAAAAACTTCTTGTGATGATGCTTTGCTACGTAATAAAATCTTTTCATCACGCCAATCCCATATTGTTAACATATAATCTGGACTTGAACCAAGTGAAGCAAGTAAATCACCTTCAGTACTAAACATAATCAAATATATATATATATTTCGTTTGAATTTTTTTTTTGTGGTTTTTAAATTTACTTAAAATCAAGATAAGCATAAGAACGTTGTGTACCAGCTTTTAATATTCTATAAGGTCTTAATGATGGATATTCATATATAACTATATTTGGAATATCACCTTTTTCACCAACAGCAAAATATTGTCTATTTGGATGAACCTTTTTTTTTATTTTTGTAAAATAATAAAATTATAGATTATTTTATAAAGAATTAATTATTTTTTTTCTTACAACAACTGCTCCAATACTATAACCACCTGTTGTTTGAATGTATCTATGCTGTCCACTAGGTAAATCAATTATTTCAATAACACAAGCAGCAGCAAACATAACTGTTTTATTATCTAATATATGTAAATTTCCACGTTTATCACAATCATAAGCAAATGATCGACTAGAAAAAAAAAGTAATAAATAAGGAATTTGAATTCTTTATTCTCAAACATTAATTCAGTAGAATTTGGGGTTCAGTTAACCATGAGGAATAGTTTACGCAGGTTACTGATATGGTTAAATTTGAGCAAAGTCATGTCATTGTGAAGATGAAGAATGTGTCATAAAGAAGATAAAAGTTGAATTGATTTGTGCTTTTTTTGCAGTTATTTTATCTATATAAAGCTGGAAATCTATGTATGATGATTTATTTTTTTGAAAAATTACTAATTTTGAGCAATGATATATGGTTAGATGTTTGTAAAGGCGATTATTTTCAGATTGAAATCATCCATTCCTATTGTTAAGATCTCATCTAGATGATGAAAAGCCATAACAAAAACGTCAGGCTTCAATCTTTTATCGATAAGAAATTGTTTAAAAATGACTGTCGAACGTTTTTTTCTTTGCTACTAGTTTTGATAAAGTTTTTAGCATGCAGATTGTGTTATTTTATGAGTTTATATCGAAAATTATGAAATTATTTTTCATATTACATATGATCAATGCATCAAAAGTTGTCAAGAAAAATGTTACTTTCACATCTGTAATCAAGAAATTTTTAAAAACTACTCCACAAATAGATTATGTCCACAATCAACTTTACAAACATCAAAATAATCATCTTAGTCAAGAAATAATTAAAAAAAACCGTTTAATATGTAGCTTATCGAAAACTTCAAAATAGATAATTTTCTATGAATGAGTGAAAAAAGATCCAACAGAAAGTAAACAATTCATTAATTTGAACTTACAACATTGTTAATGTATTTTGTGGGAATGTCGCTTCATTTGTTGTTAATGGTTTAGCATGAATTTTTTCTGCATCATAATAGAATGTATCTGGAAGTCTTGGTGGACTTTCATGTTCTGGTTTTTCAACAATATCTTGATTTTCATTATCTGTAACTGTTGTAATTTGTTCTGGTTGAATATCTTGTTGATCAATTTGTGTTGTTTGTTCATCTGCTTCTCCTCCTCCTCCTTCTTCTTCTTCTTGTTCTTCTTGTTGTTCATTATTTTCCTGAGTTAGTTCAGGTAGTGATGGTATTTGAGTTGAATCAAGTGTTATTGAAGTAGCTAATCAAAATAATAAATTTGAATATTTTGTATTTTGAAAAAAAAAAAAGGAAAACAGTTACTTACAAAGCTCATTTTCAGAATTTAAAACTTCCTGTGTTTGTGCATCTGGTGTGACTATAAAAATGATTTTTGGAATAATGAAAAATTCATGTTTCATTTTTTTAAAATTTATTTACCTTGAGTATCAACAGATCCTGCATCCATAACTGATAAAGGTTGATGAGCTAAATTAATAAATGAAGAGTAAAAAAAATAAAATAAAATAATTTTTATTAATACTTGATGCAGATTCATCTGTAGGTTTTTCTCTTGGTGATCCTTCTCTCGACATAATTTAATCTAAAAAACTAATGAAATGTTTTATACCATTTTTGTCGTAAGTTAAAATTTGTTACTAAGCATTATATTTCTAAGCGACGATAAATAACAGATGTCGTTCGAAAAAATGAAGAAAAAATGTTCATTGGCTGTTCCTATTTTGGGAAAGAAGAACGATCGATTAATACTAAAATAAACAAATATTTGACCTCATCAGAAAACACATCTAATTTTTTTTTCTTAGTTATCTAAAAAAGAAAAAACAAAATGTCAAGTACAATTGATGTAAAACCAAAACTTTCTGATACATTATTAAATGATATATCACAACAACAACAACAACCATTAAGTGTTCGGGAAAAAATTGTGAATATATTTCAAGAATTAGAAATAACACGAGATGAACAACGACGAATTAATTCAGAACTTGAAAAAGAAATTCAATCTCGAATTGAAGCTGAGGCTGAAGCAGCACATTTACGTCGACAAGTTCAATTAGTTGAAGTTAATCTTGATAATGCAACAGCTCGTGTTAATCATGTAACAACACAATTAATTGAAGTTATGAAAGTATCGGAAGCAGCACGACAGTATGAATTTTTTATTTGAGATTTTTTTATTTTCTTCGTTCATTAAAACTTCAAAATATTAATTTTAGTGTTTGTACAAGTCTGGAAACTAAATTAACAACTGTTAAAGACAAAGAAATTGATCTTGATGATGATTTAAGAAAAGCAAAAGAATGTAGTATTGAAACTGACAAACGTTTTCAAGAAGTAAAATTAATTTGTTTTTTTTTTTCGTTGCATGACACGATGAGTTTCTATTTCCAGTAAAATTCAAATCAAATAACTACGGAAAAACATTTTGTATGGGAATTCTATTTGATGTCTTGAGACATGACCACCAGAGATTTATTTTCATGTGATAAGAATATAGAAACGATGTGAATAGGTTCAAATTAGGTTGAACTGAATCAGAAAAACCAATTTAATATAAATAAAATACAGAAGTCATATGTATAGTTTTGCATTATGCTGAGTCAGGAAATTCATTTTCATCTCAAATACTTTTCTGGTAAAAATAATTTTTCTGTCCCAATCCAACCCCAAAAATATAGATATGATTTCTATAGTCTTTTCATATTAAAATGCATCTCAACACTCGAGATGTGCGAGATCAATTTTAGTTCCAGTCATGAAGACCGGAATCAATCGAAAAAAGTTACTGGAGCCAAAACAAACTTGTTCTCGTACATTTCTATTCCTGATCCAACTCAATGCCAAACTAGAGATTGTATTCCTTCAAATGAATATGTAAAAATAAATTTTAGCTATATTTAACCTAAATACTTGCAACGGTATTGCTTAGCTTGAATTATTTATTATATAACTATGTTTAGAAATTTGAATTTTTTGGAAATTGAAATTTACCATCATGGTTTCTTTTTGAACTTGATTAATGAAGATTTGTTGTTTTTTTTTGTTTTGTTTAATAGACTGCAAATAAATTAAATGAATTACAAGAACGATTTGAACTTGCTGAACGTCGATCGACTATTGCAGATCAGTAAGTTTCAAATACATGAATGATAATTTTCTAGATTAAAAATTATAGACGAATAGTATCACTTGAAAAAGATATTCGACATGCATATGTAGAAATGAAGTCATTACTTCAAGCTGAAGAAAAAGTAAAGATCTTTTTTGTTTTTGTTTTTAATTTTTGTTAATTTTTTAAAATTATTTGTTTTTTTCCAGGCACATGCTACGGAAGAAAAATATCGTAAAACTCTTGAAGATTTACAATCTCGACTTAAATCGGTATGAATTAAAAATTCTAAAATACTGATTTTTTTTTTCTCATTCATGTTTATATATTTAGGCCCAACAGCGAACAGATGAAGCTGAAACAGATGTTGGAAAATTACAAATTAAAGTTGATAAACTTAAAGGTACTTGTTGTTTCTTTTTCAATAAACAAATTTTTAATCTTTGCATTTATAGAAAAATTGGCTGATGAACGTAATAAATGTCATCAATTACAAAAAATGATGGCTGATTCATCTGTATCATAAAAAAAAAAGCAAAACATGTTTTTGTTTTTCTTCCTTTTTTTTTTGTTTTTGCTGTGCAATATATCTCATTTCATTATTTTCTACTATTATTGTTTGTCATAAATGCCGACAAGACTTGTTTGTTTTTTTTTCTTATACTTTTGTTCATTTTTTGCTTTGTGTGCTGTGGACATGTCGTGCAATTTGCTCTCGTTTTGTTTTTGCTGTTAACATTACTATTATTACTATTATTACTAATACTGCTTTTGTCTTTGTTTGATTTACTCGCCAAGCATCACACTCGCTCTTTTTTTTTTTTCTTGTTTCTTATATTCACTCAGTGTGTGATTGTTCATAGCTATATTGCAAACAGATAAATAAAGAGAATTATCATTCTTGTGAATTCATACACTAGTTAAAAATAACCACTGATTATATACGAATTAAATTTCTATACACTAGATCGGAAATGTCTAAAAAGAATATTAGATTTTATTATATGAAAAAAATATAATTATGATCGATAGAGAAATATTATTATTTGTCATTAGATTAACAAACCCCGGAGGATTTTTTTTTCATAGATATAAGATGGAGAATTGCGGATGCGCATCATTATAAAGTAGAATGTTCCATGGGTATAATGTTTCGTATACATGGTAGACTCTGCTCACATTAGTCGAATTTGCATCTTATCCGTAACATTCAAATTCTTGCTTGACTCTTATTAATTCTTTTATTTTTTTATTTTTGCGACTTATTTAATCTACTAATCATGGTAGTGCTGATTACAAACAATTTATGAAGAAAGAAAACAATTAAAGCAAAGTGCCAACATTTAGTACATAAAACAATGAACAAAGATAACATGAGTCATAAGTGACGGTTTATAGAGTCAAACCATCTTGGTATCCGAGCTTAATGTATAGACCATCGTTGGACGAATAGCTTGAGACGTATAGAACAGAACAGAATTATATAAACATGATGCTGTGGGAGAAAAGATTCGGGCATTATGTTGATTCTCAAGAAATGAACACGTTGCTATTCTGCCATTCCCTACTTGGCTCTTTTCAATTGTTGACAATAAATATGTACCGTATTCTTTATTTTGATTTAGACAAAAAAACAAAATAATAATAATAGTCAAACAATCATGAAATATAAACACGACGAATTAAAAATACATCCGGAGTGTCCAATATCAACAATTGTGTTTGAGTTTTTTATTATCCAACGTCTATAGTACTGTGTGTGGGTTAGTTTTCATATCTGTATCTAGAACTCGTTGAGTTTGGATCAGAAAATTTTGGAATCAACGAGTTCTATCTATTCTATATACTTATTAATTTCTTTCATAAACGTACTCATATACTCAACCCGTGGACTGCAGTACTCTATTCTAAAGAATGGAAATAAATAGTCTTGATTTTGGCAAAAAAGGAAGCAATTGAACAATCAGACATTAGTCAATTTAGATATAAGACTCTTGAAAAATGCACTCAAATTCTAAAGTGATTAATCTGTATTGTGTTTTTTTTCTTCAAAGAACGAAACATCTAGATTTTTCTGCTATTCATAACTAGAATAAATGTAATCTTTAATTTACTGTTTTATATAATTTCATACTTATAAGCAAAAATCTAAGTTATAGTTGGTAGAAAACTTTTGTAAATATTCGAAATCTAGAAAATCAATCTGTAGAAAATAATTTGATCAAATTATAGTAAAACTCTGTTAGACAATATAATTTCAATTAATGAAAAAGAAAATATATATAGTAAAATTTATTTAGTATTATTGTTCGACTATTATCCATAGCAAAATAAAAATTCAGCTTTTTATAGAACATCAAAAAAAAGAGGAAAAACACTTTTTGTTGATTGTTTCGTCATATTTTGTTTTGTTTTATCATCAATAGATTTTGTTGATGAATTATTTTGATGATTATGATTTCGTGGAACGGGAGCAGATGTTGGTACAATCGTAGTATGATGCATTGATGTAGCTGTTGGTGAACGAACTATGCCAACATTTGAACGTATATTTGATAATGAAGAATTTGGTGTGCTATGATTTTTAGCAGAACGATGAAGAAGATATTGATTTGATTGATAAATTAATGGAGATATTGGACGTTGTAAAACAGAATTTAAATGGCGAAGACAGATATTTAATAATTGATCAACACTATCAAGTAAGTTCTGAGTATTGGGAAATTTTCGTTGTGATAAAAGAAAAAATGCTTCAATAAATGCTGCAAATGGTAATCCTAGAAGATATAAACATTCAATATAAATAATACAAAAGTATTATTTGAAAAAATAAATTAATTTTTTTCAACATTCTATTATAAGATTGCAATCAATATTTTCTTTTTTCAACGATACATATTAGCTTTTTACTCGTTTCCCTGTCGGCCGATTCATAGTGAGCAATATGAAGAATGATTTTATTTTTAATATAAACTTATAAATAAACACGATCTTCATGGTAAAAACCTTATTATAAACTAATAGCCAGTTGAAAAGCGCACGATCCTACTGAAAACAACCGCTTTTGTAAGTGCCTAACCAAATATCACTGCGAAATGACTCATTTTTTTTCAAAAATTGACTCATGATAAGTAGATTTCCAGCTTTATACAAACAAAATAACTGCAAAAAAAAATCAAATCAATTGAGTTTTTATCTCATTCAAGACAAATGGGTCACATTTATAGTCTATTCTGCATTTCCACAGTGAAATGACTTCGCTCAAATTTAACCTTACTAGGCATGTAGCGAACCCAAACTTCAGTTCGAAGTTCGGATTGTGTCTAATATGTAGGTAGCCGTTCAAGTAGTTCTTGAAGCATACAGACAATTATAGAAGTATCCATAAGTTTTGTCAAGTCCGTGTGTAGATATTTTCGAACATCATTAACCTTTTTTTTATTTAGAAAGTCTGCTGTCTTC